ATCAATGACCTTAAGTTTCCTTTAGAACTCTCAACCAACTGATCTCTTCCTTTCTGTGAACTGCAGTGGTCAGGGACACAGGGACAGAAGAGTTACTCAGTGGGTAGGTCAAGTCCAATGACCTGAGTTCTATCTTCTGCAATTTGCCCTTTATCTTCTACATGTCCAATGTTGCTCATGGACATATGCCCTGACCCCATATGGAATAATAATAATGATGATGATAATAATAATAATGAACAAAATATAATTTTTAAAAGAAGAAGTAAAGGTAAGTCCTCAGATTCTCCTTCTAAATTTCATGCTTCCTCCAGTTTTTCATAACTCACTGAGAACACTTAGTGGTGCCCTCTGTGCATAGTGTAGGTCATCCACTAGAGTGTGAACCAGTAGCACTCAACTGCCTCAGTTCCTCAGATAGGAATGGAGACTTGTGGGGCTTTCTCCCATCCACTCTGGGAATTTGTCTGGATTTATCTTATGCAGGGAGCTCTAGTACAGAAAGCCACAACTGTTATGAGTTCATAAATGCAACGACCCTGCCAGGTCCAGAAGACACAACGTGTTTTTGTGTAGCCTTCTCCGATCTTTGGGTCTGATCTTCACCACCATTTCCACTGTGTTCTCTGAGTTTTGAAAGGAGGGGCTGTGATATACAGGTGTTGTTTGCACTTAGGGAAACACACTCTACTGAAACCGATTCCATGTGCTTTGACCAGTCATGAATCTCTGTATGAAGTGCAGTCAACTTTTGAAAAACAAAGTTTCTCTGATAAGGGCGAAAAACAGATATAATCTCTGGGCAAAAGATAAATATTTAGAATGCAGTTTGACCTTGTTTGTTCAGCTAAATAGTATAGGCATTTCCATGTGGTCTTTGACCTCTTAAGTCATGGGTCTTTGCAGTTCCAAGCTTAAGTACTGTTGTGTACAATGGGCCTTAAATCCAGCCAGAAAGTAGTTGGTTACTCCCATAACGTTCATGCCGCTATTGCCCCAAGTGGCGTGTATTTCAAGACAGACCATCATTGTAGGTTCACAGTGGCCTGAGGCTATTGATGACTTTTCTTTACCAGAATCCTGTAGAGTGCCTTTTCTCACTACGAAAGCTAGCCCAGAGGAAGGAAGCTTACAGGTTGGTACCAGCTTGCTTTCTCCCTGCCCTATGATGCACATCTGTGGTGCCTTAAGTGGCAGGGACCTACTATCAAATTATGGTGAGTAACAAAGAGCAATGACAATAGATTACATTATTATGAGGGATTAGAAGAGGCCCCCTCAAGGCCAAGAATTAGAAGGGAGCTATTTCACACCTGGCATTAGGGAAGAGCATTATCCACACCCCATATGGGGTTACTCCATTAAATATATATGTCAGGTATATTGTATAAAATTGAAATTCATATATGACTTTTTCAAACATCTTAAGCATCAGTTATCCTTTCCTCTATCTTCTACTCTCCCCAATATTCCTGTTATTATTAACTTTTGTTGTTAATTTAAAACAATGTAAAATCTTCTGAGTGTTTCATTGAAGGATTGTCTACCTTTGTGTTGGCCTAAGGGTATGTCTGTGGGAAATTGCCTTAAGTAAGTTCAATGATGTAGTAAGATCCAGCCCAAATGGATCACCATTCTTAGGCAGGGCATTCTGAACTCTGAAGCAGAGGAGAAACAGAGCTGAGCACAAGAAACACATGTATGCATTTTAATCTGCTCTTGACTGTGGATGCGATGTGACAACTTGTTTGAAGTTGCCACCATGACTTCTCAACTGCATGGAATGTAACCTGGAAATGTAGGCTTAAACAGTGTGATGATCTGAATGAGAGATGTTCTCCATAGGGTCCAGGAACTAAAAAATTAGTTACTAGTTGTTGGCGGTGTTAGGAAGGTTCAGGAGGTATAGTCGTGCTGGAGGAAGTGCTCCCTGGGGGCAGGCTTTGGGAATTTAAAGCCTCATGCCACTTCCAGTTCACACTCTCTCTTGAGTGCTTGCATTTTAAGATGTGTGCTCTCAGCTTCCTGCTTCTTCCCTATGCTTGCTGCTGTTGTCATGTTTCTCCATCATGATGGACTCTTATCCCTCTATAACCTTAGGTTAAAATTAACTATTTCTTTTATAAGCTGCTTTGGTCATGTTGGTTTTTCACAGCAACAGATAAGTGGTCCTTTGTCCCTTAGTTATTTGTTATTTTAGCAAGGGAAATGAAACTAGAGCACCTCCCACCTTTCCCCCTCCAAGCCCCACTTCGTGATGTCCCTTTTCCTCTTCATACAAATATACTCTCCTATCTCCTCTCTCTTAAATCTTTCTTCCCCACTCCCAGTAATAGCTTTTTAGTTTACTGACTTTTTCCAGTACTTTAAGTTAAACATATAAACCTAAATATTAAAGGTTAGAATACACATATGAAAGAGAACTTGCAATCTTTTTCCTCTCTGGACCTGGTTTAACTTACCTAATTTAATTCTTTCAAGTTTTCTCCATCAACATATAACAATTTAATTTCTCTTTATAGCTCAATAAAATACTTAAGGGTATTTTATTTCATTATCCATTCTTCAGTTGATGGACATTAAAGCTATTTCCATTTTTGAGCTATTGCGAATAGAGAATCAGTGAACATGGATAGGCAATGGTCTCTGTAGGAATATACAGTGTCTCTTGGATGGGTCCTCAGGATTATCATAGCTGGGTCATATGGTAGACCTATTTCTAGCTTTTAAAAATCTTCTTCTCTGATGTCCAGCATGGTCATAACTAAAAGCAAAACATGGGAAAAGGCACTTCCCTTGTTCACACATCCTTTTATGATTATCATCTTAAGTCCAGATGAATTGTGCCCAGCCCATAACACAAAGGAATAATAAATTGCACAATGCAATTCATATATTGTAAAATAAGTGATGTGTGTTAAAAGTCCTCTTGGCACACTGATTAATACCACAGAATTTCAACAGTTCTGGATGTGCAAAAATAGAAAACAGATGTGTTCATTCAGTTTCTACTGGTAGATCTGAGCTGACTGGATGTGAGAGGAAAAGTCTGTCACTGAGTGCTATCTGGAGTAACTTTGGGGAGTAAGTCTGATGCCAGTTAAATAACAGGATTTGGTACAACTTGTCATTCAAAAGTCAGGAATTTGCGTGGCATGTTGGAATGTGGCTTTCTTGTTGGTACATGGCTTTCTGCACCTTCCCTTGCAAATGCCTGTCTCACATGCATGCAACACATGTCATGATGGAATTAAATGGATTATAATGTGGAATTAAATATCCACCGAATAGAACAACCTGCATTATAGAGTAACTATCAAGGTTTTCTAGAGGAAAGAGTAATTTTAAATAAGATTAGTCGATCAGAAGCATTCAGAAATGCAGAATAACTTGATACATAGAAATATTTAAATCACAATAAAAATCTTACATAGACTTGAAGTATGGAGGTTAGTGGCTCTGTGGGACAACAATATAAGTTTTAGTTAAAGCTAGAACATTAAGAACTTTCAGTGGGTCCTCATCTTCTAGTACAGTGCTTTAAAAAGTTAACAAATTTATTAGTGACTAAATTCATTCATTGGCAATAATGTGTGTGTGCACAGGTGTGCATGAGCACAAAATTCATCATGGATATCCTTACTGCACCTCCTTTGATCTCATCATATCTGTCTAGAAATCATCTTCCCTTGCAATTGCCTGTCTCGCCATGCTTTCTGCATTTATGGTTTTGTGACCCTCTGAGTCTAATAAAGGCTGTCAGTGTGACCATGAATTTGTAACTATTCAGTGGACCCTGGCAAGAAATATCTTTTACTCCACGTACACACAGACATACAGAAACTCAATACATACATGACTGCATATATAAAGCCTAAATACATCCCTCGTGCATACACACTTATTTGTCATTACATTCAATTCTTTCTGTTATTGTCTACTCATATCAATCCTACACTCTTCTCCCTGTGAAAGTCACAGTGTCTAGGCAGTAATAAACAGCATTCTAGTGGAGTTCATGTAAATTTCTAAATGAAGAGATATAGCAAAACTTTAGGAATTGTACCTGTCATACACGACAGAATAAAGAGAACCCTTAACCTAGTCATTCCTGTGGCCATGAAGGCAAACAGAGTTTTGCATCAGTGACCGACAACTGAGTGAGTTCATTGTAAGATAAGCTGAGGAGAGGAAAATAGTGATTGAAACTGAAGAGAAAGAAAAGAAATGGTTGCAAGACATGTACAAGACCAACTGAGATTTTTTAAAACCACGGGAGTCTATGAGGCGGAAGATGTAGACGCAGCTCACGGCTAAATTCAAAACAACTCTGTGAAATAGTAAAATCTTAAATAGTAAAATACAAGTTACTCTGTTCTACTCAAATTCTGTACACTGATGAAATGCAAAACCTCACATAGAAGAAGAGGCAAGTTTGAAACATGTGCTGAGCTTCTACCTGGAACCAGGCACCAGAGTATGTGAATTTTCCTTTGCTTCTCGAACTTGCAAAGCAAGCATCACATCTGTATCTACAGGGAAGGACGGCGAGGTTCAAAGACCATAAAACATTGTTTCTGGGCAAGGAACTTGTGAGATCAAAGACCAACAGAAAGGCTCACACATATCGATTGGGAAGCTTGGACTTTATTGATAGCACAGCATTAAAATTATGAAAAATATTACGATGAATAATTTAAAGAAATAGTGATTTTATAAAGTAAATTGCACTTTAGTATACATTATCGTTTTTCAAACCAGCTTATGATCTCAAGTAACTCTTTATAGTCTACCCTTAGATAATTACAAAAAGAAATAAAGGTTTTAAATTTAACTGATAATGGTTTTTGTAAAGAAACCTCTTTTTTAGTATTATAATTCCTTTGTTCAGACTCTTGGAATCTTGTTCACTTGCATAAGCTCAGGTCTTACAAACCAGTAGGGGGCAGACAACAATTTCTGATGTCTTTGACTGGGCTCCTGTGTCTCCTCCTCTCTGACTGGTTACCTAACTCCAGCCTGGTAGCGCTTCCTTAGCAACTTGGTTGCCCTGGGAGACGGGAAGACGCAGTCCCACTGACCACATTCCTGGCAAATTCCTAGCACCTACTAGCGGTGAAAGGCGCCAGAGAACTATGTCGGAGATCCTGTGCCAGTGGCTCAACCAGGAGTTGAAGGTGTCCCGGACCGTGAGTGAGTGACCATAGCCTAGGGCAAGCGACGAGGGAAATATGGGGGTGGTGGGGGGAAACGCGCTGATAGAAAGTGTCCCCTGAGTGGCTAGCAGCGTCCCACAGTGCAGGCCAGCACTCCTCAGTCCTACCTAGACACCTGGAGCCTTCTCATTGCATCCTGCCTCTGGCATTACCCTTCATGCCTTCTCAGCCCTCAGAATTTCTGACCTAGTCTGTATTTCTAAGCAGTCACGGATGCTTCAGGTCGAGGCACTGGTCTGCTCCTATGAGGAGGAAACCTTGTTAGTGTCTGCAGTCTGACCCTGACCTTGCTTCCCAGTTAACTCTCTCTACTAAACAATAAATGGGTCGATTTACCGGTTTTAGGAACTTTCATCTCAGTTCACAAACGTTAGCTGTTTGAGGTGCTTCCTTTTCTACTTTGCTAAGCTAACCTTAGTTAATTTTATTAAAGGCACAAAGCTGTGCTCGAAACTCCTAAAGTCTTAGGGCCCAGAAAGTCCCAAACACTTCAGATTTGGTGAGAAGCAACACTTCCAAGCTTAGCACTTCAGTATGCTTTTTCTCCTCTTTGAGGGGAGGGATTAATGCTTCTCAGGGGGGAGCTTATTTTCAAGTGCTATGGATTTTCCTCAAGGCAAGACATTTTCAGGACAAATCATTTCAATCTGTCTTCCCAGAGGAACCCTTGCCTCCCTGCCAATTGCTACCGATGTGGGCAGCGTTGCCAGTTCATCCCTGGGTCATCATCCCTGCTAGGTCAGTGGTGTTTGTGCAGGTGTGAAATACCCAGTGACAACCCAAGGATCTTCAACACACAGCATCCCAAGCTGCATTTCTTGAGGCATAACTTTAGGCTTATTATTTGCTAAGCTGCCTCCACCCTGTTATGAGCAATAATAATTTTTTTCAGTGTTCTGTCTCTTTGTACCTCTGAGAGTTTCTCTGCTCAAATATGATGCTAAATTCAGGACAGTATTTAGCATTTAGCAATTATTCTTTCTCTCTCACCATATTGCCCCAAAATATAATATCAGACATGAAGTTGTACTATTTGGAGATACCAGTTGCACATTTCTTAGCTTAAGTTAGTTAACTTATTTGATAATAAAATCTATACCATTTCCTTAAGCCCTTAAGACCTTTGTAGAGTAAAATGCTTTTGAAAATGTAAATAAAGTTAATCATAACCATGCAAACACTAGATACTGTTATAATATTAATAAGTTTGAGAAATTTGGTTTTGGAAGGAAGTATGACTTCATTCTGTGAAGATTAAAAGCTTGGAGACATTTTAAATAAAAATTATAATGCCACAAGCTGTGAGTGGAAAATTCCCAGCATCTTTTTTCCTCAAGTATAAATCTGGAAATTGTTAGCAGAGACACCCCATGCTAATTTCATTTTAAACACTAGCAATGCAGCCATTGCTGAATCCCAATTGCTGCAAGATGTCTGAGGAGACAGTCTGATGTAGCCAAATTATGCATGTAAAGGGCTATCCTGAGTACGGGGAATATATTCAGTTGTGTTTGTTATCCAGATAGGATTCTGATGTACCTAAGGCACCACACAGACTCTTGCAGAAGAGTTCTATGGGGTGTGGTGGAAGATTTTGAATACTTTGTAAACATATGATGGAAGCAAACAGTGTAAGTTAAGAACGTAATTTGGTCATTCCTGGATAACAGCTGTGTGAGAGCAAGGGATCAGAGTGCGGACTGTCTGGCTCTAAATTTCTTCTTCATCATTATGAGTCAGTAGCCTAAACTTCACTGTACTAAAAAGAGTATTTGTAATGATGCTTCATCGGTTGTATCAAGGTTAAATGTCATAATACACATAAAACACTGAATAGTTCTTGGGGCGGGCATAGTGAGTAAAACTCACTTATCATCTTCAGTCGTCTTACAAAGCAACAACATAGGATATTTGAACAAGGATATATATTGCTGTGTTGATTCTGAAAGAGAAATAATCCGAACAGCCTTTAATCGAGTAATAATTGCCTACACCACATTCTCTTATACTATAAATTACTGTGAAACTATTGAATGAATGGGATACATGTTTCAATATCACAGATTTTTGTGTATTTATTTGAGTTAAAATATTGTAGGTTATTGTAGCTGGTATAATTACAGTTTAATCAACTATAAAACATGTATACACATATATACACAGGCATTGGGGAAAAGAAACACGTTTACTGTGCTGTATTAACTATATTGCTAACATGCCCATAAATCTTCATATTGTTTTTTATTTTAACATAATGGAAGTATGTGAAGATATAATCTAGAATGTCAATACTGGTTACTCTGAGGAGGCAAACATTTATACATTGCCTCCACACATTTCTATTATTTGGATTGAGCGAGTGTTGCTTTTAGAATTTAAAATATTCAATATAGTATTGAAATGAGAAGTTCAAAAGTGAAAATCAAACTTCTTGAAAAATAAGAGAAAAAACTTTAGTTGAAACGTGTATGCTTTCATAACAAAGTATTTTATGGACTCGTTGAAGAGTTATTTTCTCAAATAAAAAATGTAGTGGAAATATTAAGAACATAGTTGTAGGCTACTGATCCTTTTTATGGTAGACTGTGCTAAGACATTTTATATTTTTATTTTCTGTTAAAAATGTATAAAAGCAATGTCTCCAAGTAAAGATGATAATGAGAATATTTGGGAATTGGTCTAGGATACACTGTTAATAAGTTGTCAAGCTAAGTTATTAACCTAGATATTTGACTTCTGTTCTTAGGCACTAAGTTCTATACTAGTGTTTACAGTTAGGAATATTTATTAGTATCTATGAGCCAATCCATCTACCTTCTCAACATTCATTTAAACCCACTTTTAAGGGCTGTCATCCTATTTGGATTTTTTTTCTTTTAAAGTATTGCATTCTAACACTTAGTTTCCCTGGCAAGTTGTAAGGTTTAATTCCCAAATGGCTGGACAGCAAAGGTGCTATTATTAGTGTCTGATTAGGAGTGGTTCAGTCCATTCATTGCTTGTGCAGCAAAAATCAAATCAAAACAAAACCGAATTTTCTCCATGGGTGCTGGAGTTGTAAATTTACATTCTCATGATTTCGCAGCAGTACTTTACCCCGAGCCATCTCGCCAACACCACACTCTGTTATGCTACAGATTAAACATTGCCTCTTTCTTTAAGAGCAAATAAGTATCAGAATTCTACAACAGAAATTCTGCATAAATGGCATATGCTGTGTTGGCTATTTTTATATCAACTTTGCACAAGATAGAGTCATTGGAGAAGAGGAAGCCTCAGTTGAGAATATGTCTCCATAAGATCTGGCTGTAGGCAAACCTCTTGGGTGTTTTTTTATTTAATGATTGATGTGGGAGGGCCCAGCCCATTGTGGGTAGGGCCACAACTGGACTACTGATCTGGGTTCTGTAAGAAAGCAGGCTGATTTTGGAAGTCGGTGCAGTGGTTCTTCAGTTACCACAAGACTCCTCTATACCACTCTTGGGCATAAACCCAAATGATGCTGAATCATACCACAAGGATATTTGCTCAACTATGCTCACTGCAGCTTCATTCATGATAGAAACAACCTGAATGTGACTCATAATAGAAACAACCTGAACATGACTCTATTGAGGAATGGGTAAAGAAAATGTGGTGCAATTACACAATATTACTCCACTCTTAAGAACGAGGGCACAAGGGAATATAAAGGAAAATGGATGAATTCATCCTGAGTGAGTTATTTGTATAGATCAGATTAACCATAAAGAGAATCATACCCAACAGTTCATGTCTCTTAGGCTCTGACCATGGATAAATTGAGAAATCTAAGTAAACTTATCATGTGGCCATAAAATTATTATAGATACTCTCATGGAACACTAAAGAGAAAGCTGCATCCAGGAAATCAGTATCTGATATTGCAAATAGGAATAAATATCTCTAGGTCTTATTTTTCGTCCCAGGGAAGTGGTAACTACTGTGTATTTGAGAAGATAGCAGGTAATCATCGATGGCTAGTGACAACCCAGCTGGCATCTGCTAGTAACCTCTATTTCAAAATTTTCCCATCTCTCACCTTAGAATATTTCCCAGCGTGGTTTCTTTTACAAAACGTATTTCATGGTATATATGAAAGAAACAAAAGTAAATCATTACTTTACTTTGAACTGTGTCTTGAGAAGCAACTTGAGCCTTTGAAATCTCAGCTTTGTGAGTGAGGAAGCTCAAGCAAGTTCTTAGGATTTCTCTGATACTAATCACGGTAGATTTTATAATATGAAATGACAAATTCTTATGAAGAGAAGGTCATCAGGCTAAGTATTATTGGAAAATTAACATGATTCATAACTTTGCTTCCTGACATAAAGGAAAACATATTTATAGATCAAATTGCTTATCATCTATCAGAATTATCTGTTATCACACAATCCTTAAATCAGGCCATTGCTTGCTTTCTATTGTGTTTCCGAGGGTCACATTTTATCAATATATTGATTAAAAAGAGATTAGATTATAATCTAATCTCACCCCCACATATTTATGAAAGGCACACTGCTTAAAAAAATCTCTACTTTCCTTATATAACTAAAAGCTCCTAAACTTTCAATCATTGTAAATTCTTCTGTTATGAGAGTATCATTGTTGTATTGTCAATCAGTAAGCACAAAGAATATTGTTCACATGGAATTTTAATTAAATAGTTCATTTGTGTGTTTTGTCAAATATACTTCTTATTTATATCTTTTTAATAGTTGGGTTTTCACAAATGCCCAATTTAGTCTTTCTATATTAAATATTAGTAGTTCTTGAGAGTTGCCTTGAATTTTATGAACATACTCTGTTGTTCATATGGTTGATTCTTTGAGACAGATTTATCCATCTCTGCCTTAGGTGTCCTAGAATACATGGTGATCCATCTGTCTCAGTGCCTAAGTGTTGGGATTACTGGCCTTCACCACCATGTTCAGATGGTTATACATTATTGAGATATTT